TAATATCAATTTTTTCATTAGCATATTCATTAACAAATATATCAAATGGGTGTTGACCATGTCGATATTCATTTGGTTTAAGACCGAGTTTTATTTGTAATAGGTTTTCATATGGTGATTCGATTTCATCTACTTCATTGATTGATTTACGTTTTGTTGTTGTTGTTGTTGTTGTTGTTGCTGAAGGTGTCGAAGGTTCAGAAGTACTTTCACTACTGGGTGATTTTCGTTCATTTTCATGTTGTTCATCATTATCACTAGCGTCATCATTATATCGTTGACGACGTTTAACTAATTCATTTTCCATTTTTTCATAATTTTTACGTTCAGTTTCTATGACTTCTAATGAATCACGTTGACTACTGAGCAGATTAGCATAGAAAAGAAGACGTAATACACTGACTCCTTCTTTCATTCCTAATACAATAAAGAAAAATAAATGATTAAAATCAATAGTATGTAAATTGATGATGAATTATAAATGAAAAGTAATTCTGAAAACAATTTTAAAAAGTTTAGTCTTTCAATATCACCTATTCAGTAATAGTCTTCTGGTAAACTAAACATTGACTAATAACTGCTATTCTTCGACCAGACATTCAATAGATTAGTTCCTATCGCATGTAGTCATTGCATCCAAAACTCGTTTGATGGCTAAGATACTCGGAATTTGTTCGATTCAAATTATATAAGTCTATAGTCTATCAATAAATGATTAAGTCTACGTAAAATGAATTCTTTTGTTTCAAAATCTATATTATCATCATGAGGATAGTTCTTTTGATTGAATTCACATAGAGCTAAATAGTAGTGCAGTCGAGTTTTCGTCACACTATCGCAATAGTAGATTATTTTTCTGAAGAGTTGCTTACTGAAAAACGATGAAGATCAGATCTGAAGTGTACATTATTCTACTTTTTTTTAAATTTTTTCGCGTTCAATCAGAATTAAAAAAGTGTTAAACTTTTAAGGACGGGCTAATCTTTTATTTAAAAAAAAAATTGAATTATAAGGATAAGATTCACTGTAACTTGAAATCACAATTGTTATACTTATACTTATTTTAAGAGATATAGCTAGTAAAGCTTGAGATAGAAAAAAAGAATCTGTTGCTGCATAATCCGGAAATTCTCCTTCTGTTTAAATATTAAAACTGGAGCTCTTGTTAACTACACGATCACCCACAACCATTCAAAAAAGCATGAAGCCATGGATAATCACGATCGCCCAAATACCTACACTCTACAAAATAATACGAATTCAAAAATGGTCATACATTTGGCTTATAGTCGATCTGCACATATCTCTCACCAGCAAAGGTTGTTAACTGTTCAATCGCTTTTGCATTGAGACTATGTGTATTATGTAGATTCAAATGAGCTATGAATACGCTGACAAGAATTTAGGTCCTTAGCTTATTGATACGAAGATACTACACTTTTACGGTATTTTTTAAAATAAATGCCTTGGTGGTTCTCCTCAGGAACACCAGAAAAACTGATTTTTGAATTTCAACTTGAAACTTTACATAAAAGCAAGCCTTAACGAGAATAGTTTTTCTATGAGCGTTTCAGATCTTGTTACTGTTCCTATTCACGTATACAATTATGGTAATAACGTGTCTTTTACATCATTCAGATAAGCCCAATAGATTTGATGGTCTCAATTCAAGATAGAAGTAAATCAAAAAACCTGAAACTTTCACAAAAATCTATTCTAGTTAAGATATGTTTCTATGTAAAATTTTGTACGATTGACCGTTGAAACTGTAAATAAACAAGTATTGATCTTAAAAGATTCATCACCTGGTTCACTTGATAGAAGTTCATCATTATCAGATTCAATTTGTACATGATTACACCAACGTAAAGTATGTAGAGTTATATATTGTTGTACATGTGAAATATAATCATTTAAATTCTTTGTATATTTTGATAAAATACGTACAAATTTTGCTTGTGCATCAATAGATAAATTTGTTAAAATTGAATAAAATAAACGAGTAATATCAAAAAG